CTCTGGAGAAAAGGTCTAACCTAGTTTTCCCTAACCAGGGCCACTTCCAGATGTGTAAAACTTCAAATTGGCAGAAGATACAGAACAATTAAAACTAGGACCACAAGTCTTCTGAATAGCTTTTATCCCAGAGCTATAATTGCACTCAACAATGAACTAAAGGGCCACCATCAATGAGCTATTGGACAGCAGTACTTGGTCTCTTGTGTGTATGCTTGGGTGGTTTAGGGGCGGGAAAGTTTTTTGATGGGTGGGTGGGGGTGTGTGTTTGGAGATTGTGTGTGTTGGGCCTGGTCTCTGGGTGCTATGTGAATTTCGTTGTATGTGTAAACTGTGTATATACGTACAATGACAATAAAGTAAAATAAAGAGTTAGACACAACTTAGCAACTGATCAAATCTTCTGTTTAAAAATTATATCAGACAAACATAGTAATAACTACCCAACACCAACACCAGGCCTCAATGACTAATGGAACTATGGATATGGTGCTTCAAAATATTTATATCAACTATATTTCAAATCCCTTCTAAACTTACAGTCTTTCAAAAGCTTACTCTCACAACCCACCCACCCCAACATACTGTTCAGGGTCACCAATCCAAACTATTTCAAGGGGCTGCTTCGTTTTATCCATTACCTGAGATTCCTTCAATTTCTTGTCATAGTCTGCTTCAAGCTTGACCAGAGGACCAAAGATGTTCTGGTATTGATAAGCATCTTCATATCTAAGGAGGACATGCTGTGGCTCTTCATCAACCCCAGGCTTTTCCAGGTCCTCCAAAGTGGCAGATGGGTTCTCCTGCAATCACAGACAACAGGACGCTAAACCCAACTTCTCCAGCTGGTTTATGGGAATCCTTCTAAGATGAGGGAACTAAATACTAGGAATATCTTATCACATACATTAAATCACAAAACAATGAAATGCAAAGCATGCCCATTTAAATTACTAAATATTTCAAATAAAAACAGGCCATATCCACTTTTGACCAAAAATCACCCAGAAATCCTAATTATATACTACAGGAAAGAATACTGTTGTGCAGATTGTGCAAATTCTCCTCAATCTGCAGAATTCATCTTTTGCTGATTAGGATGAAGGCATGAATCTAGACAAAGCTTCAAACCCCCAACAACTGATCTTATTTAACCACCTTGCTGGTTTTAGTATTCAAAACTTTAAGAGCATTCTTCACAGTCCAAAATCTTGATTTAAAAAGAAACCAAGGATACTCAGGAAGCTGAATTCTGAATCCAGTATTATCTGTCTACCTGTCCCAAATATATCTGCTTTAGCTCCCATTTTCTCTCCATTCACAGCCTGAATCTCTCAAACACACCTTCCACAGTTCTTCTAGTTTATTAATTTGCTGAGCTGTGATCTGCCGGGCCCTCAGTTGTTCCTGTTCTGAAGGAATTTTGACTAGCCAGGAAAGGAAGCAGCGATCCTGAATCAAAGGCTGCCACTGTGAGCTGTCCCAATTGATGTCCTTTAAGCTGCTCTGGCTGGCACAAGGCTGCCTACACAATTAGGATATGAGAGACATATATTAGACAAACACAAAAAGTATTACTCAATTAAAAACTACATTAAAATATATACTTAATAGTTTCTTGTGATCACCATTCAAATAATTTATTTCTAAAAAGCAAAAATGCTCTTACCTGCATAACAAAACGACCACAGAGTCAGCTTTGGCCGGGATGAAGCCAAGAAGAAACACATTACGGCAGCCACAATTGTAGCATTCCAAGACAGTCTCGCCCAGAGGACCATCCTTATGAAGAGTCACTTCTTTGCACTTGGCTCTCACAAGATGGTTCACAATGTGACTGACAAAAGACAGAAACATTGCAAAACAATGATTGCACAACAAAAGTTTTATTTGAAATGTTAGCAGAAAACTCTTTATTTATATTGGAAAAACAAAATAAAGTGCAATTAGAGTTTAGAGTTGTATTTCATTTGTATGCCGCCCTTTTCCCTGAAGGGACTCAGGGCGGCTCACAACTCAAACAAGGGAAGGGAGATACAGACAGTTAACAACAACACAAAAACAATACATAATTTTAAAAAAATGCAACAATCATACCATTCGAGACAGGGGCAACGATTCTTTAGCCA